CAAAAATCTGACCAAACTAAGAGTGGAAAACAGAAACAAGGCTGGCAGGAATATCAACTAGTACTAGCAATTGTAGTACAGACTACTAACAACTAATAAAACCAAAGTCTGAAGACCTAACAAATTCATTTCCAGGTTAATGTCCCAGAAAAATCTGGCATATGTACATTGGGACACATGTTCTAAAGTTTGGTAAGGCCCTAAGTTTTTTTTTTTTTTAATGTTTATTTTTGAGAGACAGAGCCCAAGCAAGGGAGGGGCAGAGAGGGAGGGAGACACAGAATCTGAAGTAGGCTCCACGCTCTGAGCTGTCAGCACAGAGGCCTATTAGGGGCTCAAACCCACAAACCGTGAGATCATGAGCTGAAGTCAGACGCTTAACTGACTGAGCTACCCAAGTGCCCCTGTAAGGCACTATTTTTAATGCCAAAATAATGAAACAAAACACCAACCAGTAAAAGAAAAAGAAAATACATTTTGTTGTGTATATATACATATATAAAGAGTAAGACAAAAATCATTAATAGCACTGAGTAGATCTATATACCAACATGAAAAAAAATCAAAAACAACAAAAGGGGAAAAATATTCTTGTGTGAATTAAATATAGAACCATAATGACTTAACTTGTGAGAAATTTTAAATGCTTCAAAGCAGTACTTGTTTTTGGAAGGGACACGGATCCACATGGTCCTCAATTCTTGTCTATACTTTATTAACTTGAAGAAAAAAAACTCCAAGCAAATGTTAATAGTTGTCAATTGCAGATGGTGGGAGAACAGGTATTTGTTCTCTTATTTTTTTTATCTTTCCATTTGGAATCTGACTGCCATCAACAGGCAACAATAAAAGACTTTTCTCCCCCTCCCCAGAAGCAACTCTTGGTTCCAAGAATGACATCACAGTCAACAAACCACACTCAGGCAATAGAAGTGGCCACCCAGCTCTCAGGTTCTCAGGGAAGGGGACTGTACCATGTCAGATTCGAGGTCATAGTCATCACTGTTGCTGTCACCCCCTTCCCAGCGCTGAAGCACCTTCTCTTTGTGCTCCCCATTCACTTTTGAGTTCATGGCAATGGCTGAATCCGTGAACTTGTCTGTGGGAGCAGAGTTGAGGATTAGGAGTCAAGAGATATTTCACAGCCTTCTTCTAACACCCCTCACCTCCCAATGAGTAATTCAGGAGCAGAGAACAGTTTGTGTGTCAGGGCTGGGTGAGGGGAGGGTGAGGGTGGGTGCAGCGTTACAAGCCTCCTCTTAATCGTTCATGAGAAGCAAGGAATTAAAAGCAAAGCAAGGAAAACGTGAAGAACCGCAACACAGGCTGGAATTCATCCCTCCGTATCTTAGGCATCAAGATACATTCACAAGAAAAAATCTAACCATCCTCCTCAGAAAAGAAGATGTTTGTTTACAACAAGAAGAAAGAGAACAAGTCCTTACATAACTGCTCTATGCCCTCTACTCAAAAACTGAGTCTGGCATAACAACGCGACACGATACCTTTAGTAGCATAATTGAAGTCAACATTTCGGAAATGGACAAGCATGACATCACTTGGCTTAAACACCATGGTGTCCACAATATCTTCCCGACAAGGGCCACCTGCTGGCTCAGGTGCTTTCCGGTGTACAGCGTCCACTGCAAGTTCAAACTATAAAAATCCCAGTTCCCAACAGTAAAGGGTTAATATCAAGAAATGTGATGGTCACAATAGGACTATTTTTCTTTTACCCTTTCTAACCTTTTTCCAACACCACAGTCACACAGTCTTCTGAACATCAGCCACAAGGCTAAGTATTTTAACATTAAAGTACCCAGCCCTCAAACTTCCAACCCACATTTTTTAGTGCTTTCAGCACTACACTGGTACAGGCCTACAGAAAGGAGTAACACCACAATGTTGTCCAACACCACTCAACTCACGTCTTCAATGAATCTTTTTCCTTCTCCTTACATGCAACTCCAAAAAGAAGCTAATTTGAGTACACTAACCTTTGAGCTCAGAGTCTTGAAGATACCTTCATAGGTGGTACCATTCTTCACCTTTACATCACAAGTGGAGCCCTGGAACAGAGGAAGAAGTGTCTCCAGTAAACTGGTATATTACATCCCTCAAACAACCTAGGGGTTAAGTGCCCACTTACCACAACAGCTGTAAGAAAATGCAGCATTCTGGAATTGCCGTAAACACCCTCGAACACCTGTCAGTAACACAGAAGAAGAAATAGATACTTGACACCTCCCCTTCCTTCTGAATACCCACACTCTGGTGGCTCTCTGCTCTTCTGAGCCCAACTATTTGTGCATCTACTCTGTCCTATATAAGCGCATGCACCTCTGTACTTTGAGTGTGTGTGTGTAGGAGACGGCACTCACCGGTGACTGTGGGGGGCCCTTTCCTGTGCTTTGTCCCCTATAAGACGAAACAAAAAACTAGTTACTTAAACATTTCAACCCCTCTTACACAATTTATTTCAAAGAACTTGGTATCCTAGAATCACATACCCTGTGAAGATGCCGACTTAGACTACAAACCAATTAACAAGATTTTCAAACTCTCACCTTACAGAGGAAGAAACGCATAGACAGTAAAGCCAGTTAAACACATTTCCTCCAAATGCCACTAAAACAGATCTCAATCAACAACAATGGTTGTCGATTCAACACAACCTTCTCACCTCCAAAAAAAGCAATGCTACAGTAGTCGCAACCAACAACCCACCCCAAACATAAAGGTGAAAGCTCGGGGAATGCATATTCAGGATTCTGAACTACCCAGCTCAGGCATGTTACCTCTCAAAACAGAAAAGACAATCATTTTCATCAGTCTTACGCCCCAAACTCTGGGAGGAAGGTATTCCTTTTAGGATCCACCCTCCTCTCGACCTCTTTTACTCATTCAACATTACCCACTCTGGGAGGGGTCACCGATCGCCCAGTAACCCTGCTGTTCGCTGGCTGATGTAACCGGCGGTTGAGGAGGGCGATGAGGGGGCCGTTGGCAGGGCTGGGGGAACAGCGCAGCCGCAAAAGCCATCCACCGGGAGGCCTCGCCCGGCCTGCGCCTGCGTAGTAAAGCCCACGGGCCTCTAAAATGCCCCCCCTCCGCGGCCAGAACCCACTGCGCCTGCGTGTACCGCCACTCTCAAGTCCATTAACCCCCCACCCCACACACACGAAACCGAGTGGGGTGCACACCACTCATCCACGAACGGCAGGCAAACCCCGCCACGCACACTTCCAAACCCTGCCCTATAGGTTACCCGCGGCTCACGAATGCCCGGGTCATAAGACAGAGCATCCGCGCGCACGTACGAGAAGAGCGCGCGCGCGCTGGAGGTTCCCAGCCCGCAGTCCTCCCGGTTATCCCTCCTTCCGTTCCCCCGCCCACCCCGCTCCCCTCCTACTGGTCAGACCGGGAAGGGGGAGGTAGCAACCCGCTCCCAAGTCCCTCCCTCCCCATTGGCCAAACTGTGGGCCGCGCGCCCCCCTCCATTGGCTACGGCCGGGGACCCCTTCCCGCAGCTGACTCCCCATTGGCTGAAGCCGGGGACCGCGAGACCCTTCGTGGTAATGGAGCCGGGGACCCCGATCACCTCTTCGCCCCCCCAACTCCTCATTCTGACGGCGCTGTCGGGATGCACCCCGTCTGCCCTTAAGGCCTGAGTCTCGAGCCCTGACTACGCTCTGAGAGCCGAGCACGGCCCCTAAATGTCCCGATGGCCGCCCGGGGACCCCTTCCCTCTGACCTGTTAGGACCTGCGGGGGCCCACCCCCAGCCTCACGGGAGTTCCTCACCCTCCCCGGCGCCCGTCAAAGGTGGCCACGCTAGGTACCCGCCTCGCACGGTGTCCTCGGGTCCCGGCCGCTGGGCCGGAGCCGAGCCGAGCCGCCGCCGCCCCGCAGCTTAGGCTCCAGCACCCAGAAACCCACCCCTCCTCACCTGGCGCTGCCGATAGCCGCTGCCCCTGGCCTCTCCTGATGCTGCTGCTGCGGCGGCGGCTGCGGCGCCAAAATGCCCTCGGCTCCCCGGCGGAGCCCGCACCCGGCGGCGGCTGCAGGCCCCAGGCAGGGAGAAGCGGCCGCGGGAGGCCCTGGGGGAGCCGAGGTGGAGGCCAGGGGCCCCGGGAGGCCGCCGTTGGGAGGGCTGGTGCCCCCGGGAGGCCGGCGGGCCACGGCCTGTTGCGTGGGGGGCGGCTGCTGGGGCTGGGAGGTCTGTTGTGGCGGCTGAGGCTTCAACATGATGGCAGCGTCCGGAAGGGGAATTAGGGGGAAGGGAGGGAGAGAGGAGGCTGGGGCTAGGCCCCCGCCGGAGAGCGCGGGAAGCGAAGGGGATTGGGAAGCTGGCGACCCGCCGTTGGCGGGCGGGGGGAGCCCCGCGGTGTCGGGGGTGGATAGAGAAGACCGCGGCGCGAGGAAGCGCCGCGAGGCGGAAGGGGAGGGGGTCCCGCGGGCCGGAGGAAAGCGAGAGGGCGCGAGCCGGCCTGGCGCGCGTGCGCGTCGCCGGGGAAAGAGGAGGAGCGCGCGGGCGGGAGCTCCCGAAGGGGGAGGGGCGGGCAGGAGAGAACGGCGGCACGAAAGGTCCGCGCGCACCGGGGCGGTTGGCTCCGCGCGGGAGAGGGGAGAATAACAAGAGGCGAATCTCGCACCCCTAGCCTTTGGAGTGGGGAAGGAGCAGCGCGGGTGCTCACGCGCGCCAAAGATTTAGAGTCCCTAGCTCTCAAACAGCTCTAGGGGTTGGTGGCCGCTGTCGCTTCACAATGAGCGTGTGAAGCGCTGGAGGAGGAGCCGAAGTAGCCGAGAGGAAGGAAGAGCCGGCTGCCCCGCCCACGCCGGTGGTGTAGCGTCGGGATGCCTCCGCAGTTGTGTGAGATGTCAAGACGTAGCGTGCAGTTCTTCCGCCATTTGGGTCCTCGTGGGCGGAGTCTAAGTGCAAAGAAATCCCGGGTATAGACAAGCGACCGCGCTTCTATTAAGGCGGGTGGTGGTGGGTTTCTTGAGGAGGTACTCTTGACCTTGTCTGCTGTAAATAAAAGACTGATAGACACTCAGCATATTGCAGATAAATCTATGCCAAGCCCTAACTTATTTTAAACTTCATTGATTTAAGTCCTAAATGGTTTCTCCGTGCGCTAGAATGAACCGGTAGAGTGTAGTAACGGAGAGAACTGAAGGTCAAAGTATTTAGGGTCTAATTCAAAATTCTTGATACTTAGCTCTGCGATGAAGCCAGCCTTCATCCTTTCAAAATTAGTTGGGCATTAGGACATTAGGCTAGATGCACTGGATACAACTGTAATTTAACCAATTCGTGTCTTCCAAGGAGTTCAAGCTAATTGTTGACGCAGATAGTTAGATGAGATCTATCAGGTGAAGCATATGAGAGCAAATCGGAGTTACACTGAATCCAGCGTTGAGGGATGAATTTCTAGGCAGAGGGAATAGGATGTGATGAGATAAAACGTCAACGTGGCAGGAATATAAAATTAAAGAAGTTTTTTAAAATGAGACCTGGGACTAGATTTTAAAGAGACTTGGACATTATGCTCAAAGTAGTGGGAAGCCTTTCACAGAAAAGGAAGAGACCAGATTTACATTTTTAGAGGAGTACTCTTTGCAATGTGGAGAATGTGGTAGAGCAGTGATGCGTCTGTGGTCTTAACTCTAGTGAAACTTTCAATATCTCAATCTCTCTTCACTCCAGGCATTAGCATTGGAAGCCTTCCCAAACCCTCTACTGCAAACAGGCATGATACCTAGCTAAAAGCTGGTCTTACTTTTTGGGAAGTATTCCTTCGCCCCATCTCACTCCAGGCATCAAGTGTGTTACGTTCCCCCTTAATGTGCTTGCCAGGCAAATTGCCCCACTTCATTCTAAGACCCCCTTTAGTTTTGTCTTCTTGCTTGTGTCTGCTCCCTAAGAGTTGGGATCTTAACTCCTACTGTACCTGCAGTATCTAACACAATACAGGAAGTCAACTGATTACTTATGAAAGGAATGGATCTGAGAGGTATCTTAAAGACCACGTCTCCTGGATGCCTAAATAATACAGATCTGGCATTTTCCTGGTGTTACTGGCACCACTGAGTGCCCTGCCACCTCTCCAGCTTCTCTGTGCGCACCTCTGTCTCTCCCGCCCGCATCAAATTCTTCTAAGTTTTAGCCTCATGAAACTCCCATTTGAATGACACACCCTGCTCTTTTTCAACTCTTCCTTTACTTGTGCTGTTTCTTCACCCACCTTCTCATTCTTCAAGCTCGGGTGTCCATTCTTTTGAACATCCTGTTACTGACTTCCTCCTCCAGGCTCTCAGAATACTGGGATGGTTTTGCTTATACAGACCCTGAGGTTATAAGGGGCAGGGACTGTATTTACCTATTTCCCTATCTTTCATGTCTAGCTCAGTGGCTGGCACACAGTCACTCAAATAATTTGGTAAATGCATGGAATGTTGTCTTGTTATATGCAGTTTAGAAAATATATCACTGTAATTTGATATGGAGTGATTTCCAGGAAGAAAGTAAAGTTTAAAGTCTGTGCTACCTCTTGTTCAAGGAAGAAGGGAAAATAAAGAAACAAATGTATCTGCAAATTTTTGCAAAAGAAAACACAAAAAGTATGAGGGATCCTTGGCTGTTTATGTTCTTGTTGAAGGAAACAACAGAGGGGTGTCTGGGTGGCTCAGTCGGTTAAGCTTCCGATGTTGGTTGAAGTCTCTATCTGGTGGTTCATGAGTTCAAGACCTGTGTTGGGCTCTGTGCTGACATCTTAGGGACCGAAGCCCACTTCGGATTCTGTGTCTCCCTCTCTTTCTGCCCCTCCACCATTCACACACACTCTCTTAAAAATAAATAAACTTTTTTTTTTTTTAAAGGAAACAATGGAGCTCTGGGGAGAGGGAGATGCTTCTTTGAGTATACTTTTTCATATAACTTTGACTCTTTGAAAATGTTTTATTTATTTTTGAGAGAGAGATAGAGACAGCATGAGCAGGGGAGGGTCAGAGAGAGAAGGAGACACAGAATCCAAAGATAGGCTCCAGGCTCTGAGCTAGCTGTCAGCACAGAGCCCGACGTGGGGCTCAAAACCACAAACTGTGAGATCATGACCTGAGCTGAAGTTGGACGCTTAACTGACTGAGCCACCTGGGTGCCCCAACTTTTTTCTTTTAATGTAAGCTCTACGCCCAATGTGGGGCTTGAACTCACCACCCCAAGATCAAAAGTCGCATACCTCAACAAGGAAGCAAGCTAGGCACCCCTAATGGTAAACATTTTCAACAAATTAAATCAACACAGATGGAGAGTTGCTTAAATCAGATATAAATAAGTGATGAGTAAAAGTAACCCATTGAAAGAGGAAAAATAGAACTAATTCAAGTAACTTTCAGGCATTCTGTGTCTAAAGAAAAAAGAACTGCAAACCTTAAGTTCTTGTTAGTAGGTTTGCTAGGTAGTGGCATGGCAATTATGAAATTGTTTTGGGTATGGGGATTGAACATGAAAGTAAACATTAGACATTGCTGAGAACAGGGATTCTCATGCGGAAGTAGGGAGAAGCAGATATGGAATGAAAGAAGTGAGCAAAACTTTAGTGGAGCTGGATTGGAACAGGAAATATCAGTACAAAATTTATGGAAAAAATAGATGATTGATTGATATACACATACCTAGTTCCCAGATCTTGGTTTCTACATATTCCACGGAAAGATCCCAGGTCTGAGGGCCCTTTGAAGCCTCCTTCTTGATTCCAGCTTGGGGAGAAGCAAAGGAGTTTGGAATATTTTGTTGTGCCAGGAAATAGGTACTAAAAAAAAGTATTAGGGCATTAAAGGGAGATAGGAGCCATCTTGAAGAGGTAAAATCTGACACAATTTGAGATCACAATATAGAAGCATAGTAATAGGTTATAGCCCATTGAATAAAAGAAGAATTCATACATCTATACTGTTAATAGGTATACATATACATGCATACACACATAAAAAGAAAGATACAGGAGAAATAACAAGACTTGTATTCTTCAAAACTGTTCCATGGCATGAAAGACAAAGAAAAGTTGAGGAACTGTTCCAGGTTAAGAAGGCTAAAATGATAAAAAAAAATAAGTGAACTACATCTTGGCCTAGATCAAGAAAAAACAAAAAACAAAAAGGCAACTGCTATAAAAGACATGGGGAAAATTGATAAATTTGTAATACAGACTATATAATACATCCATGATAATTTCCTTATTGTGATAACTACTGTAGATGTGTAAAAGTATATTCTTAGTAAATATACACTTATGTATTATATGGGACAAAGGAATATGATATATCCAGCCTACTCTTATATGGTTCAAAGTATGTATATGTATTTTCTTTTGTTCACACAGATAAAATGATGAAGCAAATATGGCAAAATATTAACTAGTGAATCTGGATAAACTTAATTTTTATTTTTTGTTTATTTTAAGATTTCATTTTTTAAATAATCTCTACACCCAATGTGGGGTTCAAACTCACAACCCCAAGATCAAGAGTTGTATGTTCTTTTGACTGAGACAGCCAGGTGCCCCATTCCGGGTAAACTTCATATTGAAGTTCGTTGTAGTAGCCCTTCAACTTCTTTGTAAGTTTGAAATTATATTCAAAATAAAGAATTTACATATAAATAAGTAAATATTGTCTGACACCCCTAAAGTTAGGGAAAGGAGTGAGAGTAAACCACTTAATTATATATACTAAACATCCACAAACTCATTGATGAATTAAGTGAGCAGTTTTTAGTTCTCAGGAATACCCTTAGGCGCCACAGCAGTGTTCACTGCATTTTATTCACATGTATCTGAGAAGCAGTCCCAGTTTGAGGCTCAAATGATACTAGGACCCTATTCATACAAACCAGTGAGGCCATATTCCTCACTTAAGACATGGCAGAGAGTGGCTGCAGCAACAAGATGAGACGTTCCTTATGATGAAAGTCAATTCAACTATATCTCCCCAACACACATCCCTACAAGGACAACTTTCCTTCATAAACGCCAAAATGTTTTTCAAGAAGAGGCAGCATCTGGTAGCAGAAAGATATGGCCCAGCAGAGAAGAATTCTAGCTCCACCGACTACAGCAAGTGATTGGACCTCTGGTGCCCCAGGCTCAATCTAAAAGGAGAGGTCAGAATAGAGGAAGGGTACCAAATTCAAATGCCTACATGAGTAAGCTGGTAATAAAAAAGAGTGAAGCAAGGAGGCGTCATGACAAACTGGAGAGCATGCGCTTTGTCTAAAAGGGGTGCCTACAGATCCCGGAGTGGCTCAGTCAGTTAAGCCTCTGACTTTGGCTCAGTCATGCTCTCATGGTTCATGAGTTTGAGCCCTGTGCTGGGCTTCCTGCTGATAGCACAGAGCCTGCTTTGGATCATCTTCCCCCCTCTTTATGTGCCCCTCATAAAGAGGGCTCATGCATGAGGGTGCAAGCTCTCTCTCTCTCTCTCAAAAATAAACATGTTAAATAAAGAAATGAATGAATGAATGAACGAACAAACAAACAAACAAACAAATAAATAAGATACCTGCTTCTCAGTTCCAGTCAACTTCTGCTGGGTAGGGTTGTGTTCCAGGATTGCCAGAGATCTTGACATGGAACGTTCTCCAGAATAGATCACATACTAAGACAAAACAAGTCTTAAGAAATCAAAAGATCAAAGTCATACCATGCATATTTTCTGACCACAACACTACGAAACTAGAAGTCAACCACAAGAAAAAAAATCTGGAAAGAGCACAAAAACGTGGAGGTTAAAAAAACATGCTACCGAACAATGAATGGGTCGACCAAGAAATCAAAGAACAAATGAAAAATTACGTGGAAACAAATGAAAATGAAAACACAATGGACCAAAAATCTTTTGGATGTAACAAAAGTGATTCTAAGAGGCAAGTTTATGTCAATACAGGTCTGATTCAAGAAGCAAGAAAAATCAAATAAACAACCAACCTTACACCTGGAGGAAGAGGAGGAGGAGGAGGAAGAAGAAGAGCAACAACAAAACCCAAACCAGAAGAAGGAAGAAAATAATAAAGATTATAGCAGAAATAAATGATATTAAAACAAACAAAACCCCCCACAATAGAACAAATCAATGAAGCCAGGAGCTGTTCTTTGAATAGATCAACAAAATTGATAAACCTTTAGCCAGACTTAACAGAGAGAAAGGGAAAGAGAGAGAGGACTCAAACAAACAAAATCACAAATGAAAGAAGAAAAATAACCACCACCACAATTTCTCAGAAATACAATTATAAGGGAATACTGTGGAAAATTATATGCCAACAAATCAAACAACCTAGAAGAAATAGATAAATTCCTGGAAAAACAGACTACCAAAACTTAAGCAGGAATAAATGGAAAATTCAAGCAGACCAATTACCAAGAATGAAACTGAATCAATAATTTAAAAAAATCCCAACAAACAAAAGTCCAGGACTAGATGCCTTCACAGGTTAATTCTACCAAACATTTAAAGAAGAGTTGATGCCCATGTTTCACAAACTATTCCAAAAAATAGAAGTGGAAGGAAAACTTCCAAATTCATTCTATGAGGTTAGTATTACCCTGATACCAAACCCAAATAAAGACACCACAAAAAAAAAAAAAAAAAAAAAAAAAAAAAATAACAGGTCAATATCTCTGATAAATATGAATGCAAAAATCCTCAAAAAAATACTAGCAAACTAAATCCAACAGCACATTAGAAAATTATAGACCATGATCAAGTAGGATTTATTCCCAGGATCCAAGTGTGGTTCAATATTCACAAATCAATCAACATGATACGTCACATCAATAAGAGAAAGGATACAAACAATATGATCATTTCAATAAATGCAGGAAAAGCACTGGACAAAGTACAATGTCCATTTGTGATACAACCCTCAACAAGGTAGGTCTAGAGGGAACAAGCCTCGACATAATAAAGGCCACAGTGAACAGAGTTTTTCTCGTAAGGTCAGGAACAAGACAATGATGTCCACTCTCACCACTTTTATTCAGTGTAGTACTTTTGTAGTCTTAGCCACAGCAATCAAACAGGAAAGAAAGAAAGAGAGAAAGAGAGAGAGAGAGGAAGAGGGAGAGAGAGAGGGAGGGAGGGAGGGAGGAAGGAAGGACAGCCAAGTTGAAGTAAAACTTTCACTATTTGCAGATGACACAATATATGTAGAAAATCCTAAAGACTCCACCAAAAAATTACTAGAACTGAGAAATTCATTCAGTAAAGTCACAGAATACAAAATACACATACAGAAATCGGTTGCATTTCTATATACTAATAATGAAGTAGCAGAAGGAAAATTTTAAGAAAACAATCCTGTTTACAATTGCACCAATAATTTTAAAAAATAGCAGGAATAAACTTAACCAAAGGAAAGACCAGCACTCTGAAAACTATAAAACACCGAGGAGAGAATTTGAAGATGACACAAACAAATGGAAAGACATTCCATGCTCATGGATTGGAAGAATAAATATTGTTAAAATGTCTATATTACCCAAAGCCATCTACAGATTTAATGAACTCCCTATCAAAATACCAACAGCATTTTTCACAGAACCAGAACAGACTTCCTAACATTTGTATGGAACCACAAAAGACCCCAAACAGCTCAAGAAATCTTGAAAAAGAAAAAAAAAGAAACAAAACTGGGGGTATCACAATTCCAGACCTTGCGTGATATTACAAAGCTGCAGTAATCAAACCAGTATAGTACTGGCACCACAATAGGCACATAGGTCAATGGAGCAGAATAGAAAACCCAGAAATAAACCCACAGTTATACGATCAATTAATCTTTGACAAAGCAGGAAGAATGTCCAGTGGGAAAAAGACAGCTTTTAAACAAATGGTGTTGGGAATACTGGACAACAACATGCAAAAGGAATGAAACTGGATCACTTTCACCACACAAAAAATAAACTGAAAATGAATTAAAAACATAAATGTGAGGCCCAAAACCATAAAAATCCTAGAAGAGAGCACAGGCAATAATTTCTCTGACATTGGCCATTGCAACATTTTTCTAGAGATGTTTCTTCAGCCAAGGGAAATAAAAGCAAAAATAAGCTATTGGGATTTCATCAAAATAAAAAGCTTCTGTACAGCAAATCAAACTATCAACAAAACTATATGGTGAAAAAGCAAAAACAAACAAACAAAAAACTCCTAAAAGTCAATCTCCTGGATGGGAGAAGATATTTGCAAATAACATATCCAATAAAGGGTTAGTATCCAAAATATATATTAAAAACTGATAGAACTCAACAGCCCCCGAATAAATATCCCAATTAAAAAATGGGCAGAAGACATGAACAGACATTTCTCCAAAGAAGACGTCCAGATGGCCAACAGACACATGAAAAGATTCTCAACATGACTTATCATCAGGGAAATGCAAATCAGAACCACGAGATTATCACCTCACACCTGTCAGAATGGCTAAAATCAAAACCACAAGAAACAAGTGTTGGTGAGGATGTCAAGAAAAAGGAACCCTCCTGTACTGTTGATGGGAATACAAACTGGCGCAGCCATTGTGGAAAATACTAAGGAGCCTCCTCAAAAAGTTAAACATAGAACTACTCTATGATCCAGTAATCATACTAGTAGCTGTTTGCCCAGAAAATATAAAACACTAATTCAAAGAGATATATGCATCCCTACATTTATTGCAGCATTATTTACAATAACCAAATAATGGAAGCAGCCCAAGTGTCCATTGATAGATGAATGGATAAAGAAGATGTGGTACACACGCACGTGCGCACACACACACACACACACAGGAATATTATTCAGCTGTAAAAAAGAAATCTTGCCATTTGCAACAACATGGATAGAACTAGAAAGTATAATGCTAAGTGAAATACGTCAAAGAAAGACAAATACCATATAGTTTCACTCTTATGCGGAATTTAAGAAACAAAACAAATGAATAAAGGGAAAAGAGAGAGAGACAGAGACAAACCAAGTACAGACTCTTAACTATAGAGAATAAGCTGATGGTTACCAAAAGGAAGAGGGGTGGTGGGATGGGTGAAATAGGTGATGTGGATTATGGAATGCACTTGTGATGAGATGAGCACAGGCTGATGCATGAAATTGTTAAATCATTCTATTGTACACCTGAAACTAATATAACACTGTATGTTAACTATACTGGGATTTAAAAATATAATGAAAAAAATACCTCACAAAGATAAAAAATATTATACTCTGAGGAACTTGGAAATGACCATAGGTTGGGACTGTGGATCAGTTGAGCTCTCTGTGAGTTGGACTTGAGCTAAGAATCCATCTATTACCTGACCACCTTCAGCCCCCACCTTGATGGGTGGCCCATAGTGCCATTGGATCTCCCAAGGAATTAGTATCAATTCAGAGCCAGTATCTAGTAATTCTCAAAAGGTCTGGGTATTTTCTTTTCCCTAATACACAGTCACTCCAATAAACATCCACAGTTCCTTTCTCAAGGAGACCTATCTCCCTTTTAATGAAGGTGCTCTGAGTCTATGCTGACATAGGTCTAGAAACTAAGAGAGAGAGACTGTGGCTTTCCAATGTAGTGACTCAAGTTGGATTTATGGCTACCAGAGCAAGATTTTTTTTCCCCTCTTACATCTTAGGAACATGGTGACCAATCAACCACTGCCAAAGATTGGTGATGACTGGTGTGTCCCTGTGGCCCTTTACAGCAGATGTGCCCATCATATCATTAGTGGAAATATACTGTCTATAGCCTCTGCTACTCCAGGTTCCTATCCTCACTGAAATCAGGGAGCCCATGTGATAAACCCATTGCATGGTGAATCCTCCACAGAATACCTGGCTGACACAAACACAGAGCAACAAAAGAGATTTTCAGTAATGTAGGCACTTTCCTCACCAATGTATTTCTCAATGCCTTAGTGAAGGAAATGTCTTCTAGGAATTCTTGTGAAATGCGGTTAGGAGGTAAGTATGTTGATTGTACATGATAAGTCTACCCCAGTATTCGTATCTCTCTAAGCCTTTGGATTCTTTATTCCACACGATGAAGGGAGCTCTGGCATCTCAACTTCATTATGGCAGGCCATAGTTTCAGTCAACTTACCACGTAGACTGTTAGAGCCACTTCCATCTGCGTGAGTCAACACATTTCCAGACTATTTAGTGAGTGCACCCACACCAAAGAAGTTGACCCAACCTAGTGCTCTATTTTGCTCAACTTGGTCCAATTCTCTTAGGATCTCCTTCCATACATCTTCTCCAGGTGTTTGTTGATATATATTGGTAATGTCTTGTCCTTTTGCTGTATCAGTTATTTCCTCCTGAGTTATGGTGTGCACCTAAATCCTCTGGGCTCACTGAAATCTGGCCCTTATTATGGGTCTAATGGGATCAAGAAGTGGTTGTGATAGGGTTTTTTTTTAATTTTTAAAAAGTTTAGTTATTTATTTTGAGAGACACAGAGACAGCACAAGGTGGAGAGGCACAGAGGGAGGGGGAGAGAGAGAGAGAGAGAGAGAGAGAGAATCCTAAGCAGGCTCCAAGCTGGCAGTGCAGAGCCTGATGTGGGGCTCAAACCCATGAAACCATGAGATCATGAC